GGGGGGGGGGGGGGGGGGATAGGGGCTATTTGCTCTTAGTCAGAGTTCAGCGTTATGGGCGAAAGAGGGGGACAGAGCGGGTTTGGTACCACCCACCCACTCTTACATTCTTTGTGCCGCTTTCCAGGTCATGCGAGGCCGCTCATACATCTGTGCTGCAGTACTATTGGGAGTCAACGAGATGGAATCAGAGTCCCGGTACGGAAAAGAGTGCCAGCGGCAGAGACCCACGTGGCTCTTCATGTATGTGTACCCCGTCGGCACTTGTCTCCTGGAAAAATACCATAGTCTCAAAAGAATGGAGAGTACAGGAACAGCAAAAAAGATGCAGGGTGTTCCTTGTAAGTAAAACATGCTAGACCGACTTCGTCGGGCTGAGGGTATGTGTAGGGGGTGATGTTTTGCGGAACCCTGCTCTCGCTTCCCTCCCCGACTAGGGAAGAATGTCTTCCTTGATTTAGGAACGTAGGGCACGCTGGTCCAAGTGGTTACAACGCTTGATCTCAGCTTGGGGGCACGTTTCGTATCAGTGGAGATAAAAGGACCACGGTACCAGCACCACGACCACTGCTCTTTACATGGCACTCATTCGTGGAAGTTTTTACTTTACAGTCGAAGGAGGTCTCCCGAGCAATCTCTCCACTTCCCCTGTCCCGAACTCTTCACGCACAACCTCGCCGCCGTAGGGTACTCGTGCTCGGCTCAAGCGCTCTATAGCTGCAGGAGCAGTTGCAAGTGATTGTGAGCAATCCTTTCATGTCGTGAAACGGATTTTGTTTTACAGCCGCCATATGAGAGACCTTCTGCGACACACACGCGGCACAAGCACGCAACAAGCGGGGGCTTGCGTATAAAACGACCGCCTTCCCCCTCATTTTTTCCCGCGCCGTAGATATGACCACCTCCTAGCAATCGCGTTGGCTTACGAACCTCCCTCTCGCTATTCCTCGGAATCTTTCGCCTGTCTCGTAAGATGGTATGAGAGACCCTGTTGCAACACACGTACGCGACACAAGCATACAACATCGACAAACTGTGCGAACTTGAGCACAAACTGTTCGCTAAGAGACAAAGCGTCGACGAAACAAGACCAACGATGGCTTGCAAGCATACATGCAGGACGCGAACAGCTCCCAGAGAGTGCGCTGGCCCACACTGCTGTTGCGCCAAGTAGCTACGCATTCACGATAAACGGATAAATGTGGAAATGAGTGTTTCGTCCTCGACAGACGTTGGGGAGTTTCAACCTTTATGAAGGTGTTCTCCACATTACCCCCCCCTTTTTCGAGTCGACTCCATTGTGGAAAAGAGGGTTTCGTCCTCGACAGACGTTGGGGAGTTTCAACCTTTATGAAGGTGTTCTCCACATAGTCTAAAATGGCATCATAAACTTCAATAAAACTAAGGTAAGAAAAACTACGTGCATTTTGTACGTCCACGAAAAAACTTGAAGGGCAACACAACCTTATCAGTGACGTTTAGTGGCTAAGGCCCGCCTCGACAACCATATTTCGCAACCGTTTGGTCTGTCAGTCACTAGACTATAGAGTTCTCCCACACAAGCGCAACATGTCTCACTACTGAACCGAAACGAACCACCGCATGCGCTGCCTTCCCCTTCTTCCCTCGAACAATATTCCCGTCGAGAAGAATCCGGCAAACGGATTACCGAGGATGTCGGCCGGCATGTGCGGGTCCTAACGCGAAGAAAATGTTGTCTTGAAGCAACCAGCCGGATCCGCCGTTCAATGTCTGAAACCTGTCGAGCCTGTTCCACAACAAGGACACTGTATCCTCCATCGCATTATATTGACGTAAGAACCTGTACAACCAGAGCGCTCATGCCGCCTGCCTCACAACAAGGAACAAGATGTTGGCAAGGTCACCCTTACTACTGGTTGCTCTCGACGCCTCCGTCTTCTGGGAGGGGCTCTTAAGAACTCACGCCAGGCGGTGGTGGCGGGGCCGATAACGCTCTTGAGATCTTGCCGAGCGCAAGCATACGTTGAAGAAGAATGTCGCAGCTCGTGTACGCAACGGTCCATTTGGGTAGAGCAGCAACACGGCCACACAAACCTCGGAGGAATCGTTTCGTCGTCAGGGCCATTTCAAAGAGGCGGCAACTAAAACCACGTGGGGAGCTTGGCGCTTGCTGTCGTGACAAGCGCATCCTCCGGAGCCACCGTTGCGCTGCTGCCTGTCGTAGTGCCGAAGCTGCTGTCGGTGCTTCGGCTGGCGCTCCTGCTCCTGGTGCGGCTGTTGCTGCTGCTACGCGTGCTTGTGTCCTTGACTGCTTGCCGTCCACCATGACGAGCCTTGCGTTGGTGATCGTCGTCGCCTTTGTGCCACGCGTTTTCCGTTGATTTTTCGTCCTCGCTGTTGCGGTGAGCGTCGCCGCCGGTAGAAAAGCTGGTGGTGTCGGTGTCGGCGATAGTTGTGTTGTTCAGAAGTTGCTGTTCGAGGAGGTCGCAGCGGACCTTGAGGTCGTTCCTCTCTCCCATCGCTCGGTAAAATTTGGTGCGGAGGTCGGAGAGCGCCTGCTTGGTATCGTCCATCATCTGCGCGCGATTGCGGATGTTTGTCAGCGTCAGCATGGAAAGTGGAAGGGGCTAACCAGTACGTGGCGAATGGTGTCGGAGAGTGATGACATGTGGGTATACCACTGCTTCTGATACGACGAACAAAGCATGTGAAGACCTCTTGCGAACACACTCCATCCGGATGGATCCGCAGCAGCTCTGCGCATTGAGAGACCGTACCTCGCCGGCGTTCGCGCGAAAACCTGTGGAATAGCGGCAGAATCCGTCTGCTGCTGTCAAAATGAAAACCTCCAGGTGATGAGTTCCACGTACCTTATCGAGACCATTCCCGTATTCCCCAGGTTCCTCCACCCCGTGATGGAGGCTATCACCTCTAAAGCTCCCACCGAAAGGGGCCGCAGATCCGTTTTCAGTAGTAGAATCAATTTCTTCAGGTCCGTAGCCTGAGGAGGCGTGAGCCTGCTGCCGCCGGGCCACTTCCAGTTCGTACTCGAGCTCGTTTACGCGCTGGATACCGCAGGCCCAGACGACCTTGAGCTCCCCGTGTAGCCAACTCGCGCGCTTCTCCGCTTGCGCCAGGGCGTCTTCCAGCTGGCTGACCCGGCGATGGGAGGCTCGCTCCTTGTCGATGGCGGCTTCTTTTTTCTCTCCGGCGGCGGGACGCGTTCTCAGCGGCTATGGCAGACGAAGAGACCAGTTGTGCGACATGACCTTGGGAGGTGACAAGGGCCGCTTCGAGCTGGGTGATCTTCGTTGCCATCCGTGCGTTTTCCTGCTGCTGCCGCACGCTAGCGGTGAAAACTGCTGCCGCCACATTGCTCCCCGCGTCGCGATGCACTACGCTCTGAGGTCCCTTCTTCGGTCTGGCGTAGTAGCCGCCAGCGTGGATGTCCGTTCCTTCTGGCTCAGCTTGGTCGTGTTTGTGGACTAGATTGGTGGTGCTCGGAGGCTTTCGTGCTACTACAAAGGACTGCCACGGAATCTGTTCGCTATCATCCTCCCCGCGGTCTTCTCCTCCGGCAGTTCGAACGTCGTCGGAATCGGGGTTGCAATGATACTGAAACGGAGCGAGACCATCCTCCGTCTCGTCTGAGCTGATTCTCGTAGGTTTAACCTCAAGGCGCCCTCGGTGGTAGGAAGCGGAGTTCTTGGTTCGGGGGGACAAGGGTTGTTGTGGATGCGGCGGCGAGGTAGTCGAATGCGCTCTGGAACTCGCCTCAAGCTCTGCGATACGACGAGCTACCAAGCTGGTCATGTTTTTGGCTGCCGACGACATGTAGATACGATGCTTGGAAGAGGAGCTTTTCGTCCTATTCCTGGGCACGTGCGATGCGGCCGGGAGATCGGCAGGTACAATGGGTAGTGTCGATTGATGTTAACCTACTGCTGCGCGACAGAGCTACAAGTCAAACGATAGATACAAACTTGGTAACGGGTGTGCTCGGTGAACTGCTGTGCAAGAGGCGCCGCAGGTAGACAGATATCCAAACTCTCACGCGTATCCCAGGCGATGTTACCCTCTCCGTCAACCTCGTTTCGCCCTCTTACCTTGCACTCCCGCGAGTGCGTGGTGTGTGCTGGCGTGACCGTGCTGTAGAATTACCCAACTCACATCGTCGTGTCGTTGGTTTGCATTGCGCAGGTGGGTCGTCGCAGTATTCACAATACAGCAGTAGCATGATCCTGGGGGATACGTGGAGATAGAAAACTTTGGGCATACGTTTGGTGTACATGAGCCTCAGAACCAACGCGTACCCCCTCCATCGTCGTTGCAGTTGTCTGTTGTGTCCGCGCTGCACGAGCGACTGTTCTGGCATACGCGTACAGTAAAGTACACACGCGAAGGGCAGGGATGACTCGCGCCAAGCAAGAGGGATGCTCTCCCTGGCCTCGAGCACGAAAAATGGCGCCGTTTGCCTTGGTTCTGCACACCCTCGCTCTCCAACTCTTGTGTTCGTTAGGATCATCCGGCAGCAGCAGGAGCAGCAGCAGCAGCAGCAGTGGCCTCTACCTCCCTGCTGGCGTCAGGGGCGGCGTCACACCAGCGATCGAAGAGAACCACCGCAGCAGAGAGGAGGAGCAAGCCGGCGGGCAGGGGAATACCACCATCCCGCCCAGAGCGGTGCTGATCGACGCGAACGACATCATCGACGCGATGGCCCAAGCCTCTGGTCAGCGCAGTGGGACGGACGCCCACGAGCAGGTGTTCAAACAGACCCATGTCTACCGATCCCAGGTGCACCACAGGAGCAAGCGCACGATGAGGTGAGAAGAGAGGAATGACATGAGGCGGGAGACTGGGGATGCTGTTTCTGACGACGGCTGCTAGGGGGGGCAAGGATGAGAGAAGTTTGGTGTTTCCTCGGTGAGCTGATCGCTGGCGTCACTCGAATGTCAAGTCTACTGCTGTCTTCGTTGGCCATACATACTTGTACTGCTGGCTGTTCGTCCATGATTTGCATGCTGCTGTTTGGAGGGTACCCGTACTTTCGTAAGTTAGAGGCCAGGATACATTTGCTTCCTTTTCTGCACACCACGAAATCTACGGCTTTGCTGTCAAACGTACATAGAGCCACGTAGACGTCAAAGCACAACAGCAGTTAGAGGAGGAATGCTGCTGCTGCTGCGCTCCCTCTTTGCCCGTCGAAGCGAACGAAACGAGGCCTACTACATGCCCAATACAGCAGTGTACGACTGCTGTACAGCAGTGCGATTTATTTCAAGTTGACAGCTGAGGCTGCCTGCGCGCGATTTCACGAAGACGCCACGCGGCACTTGCGGGGTAGCGACGGGTCGAAAGTTCGTCTTCGTCGATTATTCGTGTCGATGCAGGTGGCGCCAACATTTTCGAATTTGAAAGTCAACGACTTGGTGGCGCCATCGGTTTTTCAGCAGTATGTACAGGAACGGTGCTGGATATTTTATTCGGAATTTTTATTCCGCCAGCTTCGAACTCTTGTGAGGCTGTTTCTTATAGAGCCGGATTCTTGACCTGAAAAACCTCAAAATCCCGATATGGCCAAAATCGGGATTCTTTTATAGACCCGGAACCTTTAGTTTTTCGGGTCAACATTTTCCAGTTTCAGAAATCCGGTCGACTTTCACCCGGATTCTGATGCAGAATCCGGGTGAAAGCCCAACCGGATTTTCTCACCCGAAAAATTCAATTCAAACGCTGGTTACGCCGCCCGGCTCACACACACACGCACACACACAGCACAGCACAGCACAATACAGCGGCTACCGCAGATGCGTGTCGCAGTGCCGGCGCTCTTAGGGCTGCTGGGCGTCGCCCGCCTCGGCTGTGCACTTGTATTGCCCGCGGGACGTGTGGTTCACCGCCAAATGGCCGAGACAGCAACCGAAAGTGGTGGTATCGATGTGCCGGCTGCCTTCGCCACCACGGCGGTAGCTACTGCCTCCCTGCAGCAGCTGCAACGTAGCGTCGCCGTCTGGGACGTTATCATGGAAGACTTCGAAGACGATCTAGAGCTGGATACAGAGGACGATGAAGCGTCGAGGGAGGTGAAGAGGCGGCGTGTGTACGTTCGTAAAGACTACACGAAGTCGGGATGGTGGCAGGAGCTCATGGAGCTGCGAGAGACAGGCGAGACAGATCACACGACCCGGGAAGCGCGGCGTTTTCGCAACAACTTCCGCGTCCCCTACCCGTTTTTCGTGCACTTGGTGGAGCTGGTGAGGGACAGAGACTGGTTCCCAACCGGGGAGTCGGATGTCACGGGTCGCCAAGCCGTCCCTGTTGAG